ATTTTTTTCTTGTATCTTTTTTTATTAAAATATTAGGTATTAGGTACATATATTAGTGCAAATACATCTGCATTTGTGCAGCTACCCTTGACTATATGAAGGGGAGTACAGTGTCAAAAAGCTAGCTATGTGATGCTAAGAAATCCTCATCACACAGGATGGTTAGTCATACAGAGGCATGTGATAAGTAGTCTGCACTGGCAGACTCTGGGTGCATTATGAGGATATCAACACAAGAGTGAATAAGATAGCAGTGATACTAAAAGTCCCCATCTCGCAGGATGATTAGTCATACAGGGGCCTGCACTAGCAAATTTTGGATGCAATATGAGGATATCTTCAAGAAAACGAGAGTGAATAAAGTAATTGCAAAGATCTAGTTGCTCCTCAATCCTGTGTGTGAATCGTTTAAATATAATACTTAGTAAAAAACAAAATCCCAGAACAGGGTCTTGGAGTACTCCACTGATAATGATTTCCTATTTGAACTTGACTCAATTTATACTGACGTTTCCGCCTAAATAACCAAGCACTAATCTAATGCAATTCTTCCAACCACTAATCGTCATGAAAGACCTCTAAGTGGTCTTTCGTGAGGAACAACATATATTTTACTAAAGTTACCGGGTAGTATGTTGCTGGAGACCCCTGCTAGCGTGTTGCTGGAGACCCCTGCCAGTGTGTTGCTGGAGACCCCTGCTAGTGTGTTGCTGGAGACTCCTGCCAGTGTGTTGCTGGAGACCCCTGCCAGTGTGTTGCTGGAGACCCCTGCCAGTGTGTTGCTGGAGACCCCTGCCAGTGTGTTGCTGGAGACCCCTGCCAGTGTGTTGCTAGAGACCCCTGCTAGCGTGTTGCTGGAGACCCCTGCCAGTGTGTTGCTGGAGACCCCTGCCAGTGTGTTGCTGGAGACTCCTGCCAGTGTGTTGCTGGAGACCCCTGCCAGTGTGTTGCTGGAGACCCCTGCCAGTGTGTTGCTGGAGACCCCTGCCAGTGTGTTGCTGGAGACCCCTGCCAGTGTGTTGCTGGAGACCCCTGCCAGTGTGTTGCTGGAGACCCCTGCCAGTGTGTTGCTGGAGACCCCTGCCAGTGTGTTGCTGGAGACCCCTGCCAGTGTGTTGCTGGAGACTCCTGCCAGTGTGTTGCTGGAGACTCTTGCCAGTGTGTTGCTGGAGACCCTGCCAGGCTGTGGCTGGAGACCCCTGCCAGTGTGTTGCTGGAGACCCCTGCCAGTGTGTTGCTGGAGACTCCTGCCAGTGTGTTGCTGGAGACCCTGCCAGGCTGTGGCTGGAGACCCCTGCCAGTGTGTTGCTGGAGACCCCTGCCAGTGTGTTGCTGGAGACCCCTGCCAGTGTGTTGCTGGAGACCCCTGCCAGTGTGCTGCTGGAGACCCTGCCAGCCTTGTGGCTGGAGACCCCTGCCAGTGTGTTGCTGTAGACCCCTGCCAGTGTGTTGCTGGAGACCCTGCCAGCCTGTGGCTGGAGACCCCTGCAAGTGTGTTGCTGGAGACCCTGCCAGCCTGTGGCTGGAGACCCCTGCCAGTGTGTTGCTGGAGACCCCTGGCAGTGTGTTGCTGGAGACCCTGCCAGCCTTGTGGCTGGAGACCCCTGCCAGTGTGTTGCTGTAGACCCCTGCCAGTGTGTTGCTGGAGACCCCTGCCAGTGTGTTGCTGGAGACTCCTGCCAGTGTGTTGCTGGAGACTCCTGCCAGTGTGTTGCTGGAGACCCTGCCAGGCTGTGGCTGGAGACCCCTGCCAGTGTGTTGCTGGAGACCCCTGCCAGTGTGTTGCTGGAGACCCCTGCCAGTGTGTTGCTGGAGACCCCTGCCAGTGTGTTGCTGGAGACCCTGCCAGCCTTGTGGCTGGAGACCCCTGCCAGTGTGTTGCTGTAGACCCCTGCCAGTGTGTTGCTGGAGACCCTGCCAGCCTGTGGCTGGAGACCCCTGCCAGTGTGTTGCTGTAGACCCCTGCCAGTGTGTTGCTGGAGACCCTGCCAGCCTGTGGCTGGAGACCCCTGCCAGTGTGTTGCTGGAGACCCTGCCAGCCTGTGGCTGGAGACCCTGCCAGCCTGTGGCTGGAGACCCCTGCCAGTGTGTTGCTGGAGACCCTGCCAGCCTGTGGCTGGAGACCCCTGCCAGTGTGTTGCTGGAGACCCTGCCAGCCTGTGGCTGGAGACCCCTTGTTCGATAGAAGACAGCAGGGGACTCGCCGGGTTAGAAGATCGTAGACGTTCTTTTGTAGTGTGTTGTGTAACTGTAACACCTGAAGTGTTATGTGATGTTCTTTGTAATAAGTGTACATAGTTAAGAGGCACATATGGTGATGGTTTTTGTTTACCCCTCATTCCTGTTGGACTATTACTGCTCGTTCTTAATAACATACCTATGACTCGGGGTTGGATTGAGTAAGACGCTGCACTAAAGCCCCATATAAAGTTTGAAATTAAAAGAACTCAGTTACTTCTTAGGTTACTTAGGTTACTGGCTAAGTGAGGCCCTTACAATTCTTCTCCCCGTTATCTAAACTAGTTAGCAAAGTACTTGTTTAGAATACTCCCCCACTTCTTTGTGGGAAGTGCAAGCCAATCAGTTACTGTGCAGGTCTCATTTTTAAAGATAAAGCTTCCTGGCACATTTTTAATGTCTGAGAGACCCTTTATAGTTTATCTTTCCCTGACTTAATGTATGTACAATCTACTTCATAATTTCTTTTAGCCTTTCTTTCTTCTTTTTACTCTCCTAACTAGTTTAAAATTTTTTAGTTTCTTCATTATTGAATAGTATGATGAATATGGTATGAATATTAATTGCCTCATATTCATTATCAAATATGGGGCAATTAATATATTCTCTTGTCACCAGGTTAGAAACACCTTATCAAACATCTTATCGCAGATAAAGGTGTTTGTAAAGTAATTATCAAGAGAGCGCTTACAACTATATAGCACTTGCAAAAACTACAAAGATAAATAAGGCTTTCGGTTAGGACAGAGGGAAAGAATGATACCCAATCACTTGGATCGTCTATTTTGAGGTTATCTTGAGATGATTTCGGGGCTTAGCATCCTCACGGCCCGGTCCTCAACCAGGCTTTCTTTTTGTTACACACCCCCAGTTAGCAGCCCGTAGCAGCTGTCTAACTCCCAGGTACCTATTTACTGCTAGGTAACAGGGGCATCAGGGTGAATTTTTTTTTGCCCATTTGTCTCCGTCTCCACCGGGGATCGAACCCGGAACCTCAGGACTATGAATCCGAAGCGCTGTCCACTCAGCTGTCAGGCACCCTGGATGGTCGGAGAAAGAACACTGACCTACAAGAAGTGAGGCCATCGCTGTACTGTCCAGTCCAAGTGGTTGGGCAGGAGTTCATAGAATGAAAAAGTTTGAAAAATTCAAAATGAGAATTGTCATTTCACATTGACCATACTTTGATATTATTAGGTACTTTATCTACAACAATACATTTGAATCTCGGGAATATTTACTTATGCAAAAAAAGCATAAGTTTCTACTACAGGTTTTCTTTAGGAATGAAACTCATTCATACTTCCCACTTCTTTGTGCATTCATACTTGTGCAAGCAATAAGGCTCATCTCATTTCTCAGCAAAGCTCCATAAAATAATGTTGCAAACCTTTGACAAATAAGATGGGCAGGCAGTGGTAATTATCAGGAGACAGTGGGAAGGAAGGCTGCTGGCAATTCATGATTTTCCAATGGGTTATGTTCATAATAGTGATGGTTATGTTGCAACCCGTTCTCGCACTTGCTTCAGTCAATATTGGCTTATTTAATAAGTGCATATGTGACATACTAATTGATTGTGAATATTTTAGTTTACCTTGAAAAGCTTCATAGAAAACACTGACCTCACCTAACCACCTTAGTATGTTAAGATAAGCATCTTATTGCTTCTTATTTACAATTATTACTTAATGTATCAACGGTATAGGTTAAGTAATAATTGTAATTAAGAAGCAATAAGATGCTTATCTTAACATACTAAGAAGGTTAGGTGAGGTCGGTGTTTTCTATGAAGCTTTTCAAGGTAAACGAAAATATTTACAATCAATTAGCATGTCACATATGCACTTATTAAATAAGCCAATATTGACTATAAGCAAGTGTGAGAACGGGTTGTATGTTGCCTCTGGAGTCCAAACATGACTTATGTTGCCTTAAAAGTTCAAACCAAGCACTTTGATAGTGATCACGAGGTCTTTTGAATATGCAACCGATTCATTAATATGAAGACATTCATCTGCTGCTGCATTAGTGGTCCAAATCCCTACTAGAGGTTACTTTCTTTATTCTCTATCAAATTTATTATTTATATTTTATACCTTACCTATATTCAGTAGTGGCAGTGCAGATATTAATTCAAATGCATAATGCAACATCCTTATTTCAGACACATGCTTTAAAGATATGCAGATACTGTATGATATTTCCTGCCATGTGCCAATTCAACATAATCCTAAAAATAAAAAGGTGGTAGCCATTTTAGGTTCAGAATTTAAGTCTGCTGTTAGCATCTGGCATCTTAGGGCAACAGCAGCGTGCATGCAGCAGTCCCCAAGCTCGGGGACTGCTGCACTTTGGCAATTCTCACATTGTATGTTTCAACCTAAACAAGTTTTCTCACGTTTTAAAATTGATGATATTCAACTGAATTGTCCTCTTTGTGGCATACCTTTAACCTCACTTGTCTTTTGACTTTTGCTCACATTACATTTTAAAATCTAGGAATTTCTTTTAATGTTCTTTAATTCAACAATTTAAGTTAAATTGAATTGATTTTTTCATCAAATCTGAACAAATATTTTCAGATTTGTTGCCTTCTTTTGATACTTATAATATGTGCAAATGAAGTAACATACACAAGGTACATAACACAACACACGTAATATACGTGTGAAGTCTCGCTAAGGATAAGTAGCTCATGCCATTTGAACACATGTACATAATACAAATAATCATCTCACAGGAGAACAAATAAATTTGAGTTACAATATAAATTTTATTACAAACTCTGCAAATTCCCAGAAGCGGAAAATTACAAACCCAATGCAAAACCAACCTACAATAACTTATGGCAGGTCACAACACTACAGTCCAAGTGCTGGCAACTTTCATCCTATGTACATTCGTGCAATTTGTATTCATAAACTTTAACAACTTAAAGATCAAACAAGATAAAATAATGTGGTAGAACAATTTCTTTATATCTACATTAAACAGTCAAGTATTCAGTGAATGCTTTGTCTAACTGGAATATACTTATGTCAATATCAATAAAAGATACACTGATGCTTTAATAAAAAAAAATGCTATTTACATGGCAAATATGAGCATAGCAATGTACATAGAAGGAATGTACTGTATTGTATTGTATTCCACAAAAACAGCTGAAGGTCTTATACTTGAGGGTTGTAACCCACAGAATAAAGTAGCTTCCATGGTTGGTGACTGTAGACAAGTGTGTGAATATTGTCTTACATGCATCCCAAGTGTCATGTACACGTTTCACCATCTTGGACAACAATATTAAATAATATACAAAACGTTTAATACATTATTGTCTTCATGAAAGTTTAAAAAAATCTGAATTATTCACAATTCTCTATCTTGTTTTCAAGAATTTAGCAGTAACACAGTGTAGAGAGTTTTGCCCAAGCTCTAACAAAACTTTTAATGTTAAAAGTATGTATTTGCAATCCCATCTGCTGATAACCCTGACCTGTTAATAATGCAGGAGCTGCCATTTATAATACAACAATTCAATCATTAACAAACTTCTTTTTAAGAATAATTGTATCAAGTCAACACTATAATCCTCTTTATTCCACTTGTTGATTTGGAGAGAACCCACATGTAAAGTACAATATAAACTTAAATTTTTTTGAAGTATACTTGTGGTGGCATGATCACTATGCACAATGAAATTACAGTAGTGTGATATCCGAGAACATCTTTGAAAGCAATGCAGTCGAATCAAACTTATGTCCTCATGGGTCACATGATGCACGCATTGTTTGAGCTCGGTGGTCAAGTGGGTAAAATGTGTGATCAGGACGAGAGTTCTCTCTCATCACACTGCTTCCAAAGATCTTATGACACCTGTATCTCAAACAACAATGTTTCAAGTATTTGTGTAATTAAAACATTTTTATGGTGCCCTGCAAATCTGAGTCAATAACATTTCATCAGGCAAAACCCAAAGGCAAAAAGAAATATTTACTTAAATCTAAAATCATATAGTTTGTGGTTTTGTGCAATTGTGCGTTGTTTTAAAATATTAGAATTATGGATATACTTGTTTCATCTTGTGAAACAAGCATCATCTCATGGAGGATGATGAGTGGATGAGGATGAGATGAAGTGAAGTTAAAGTGAAGTCCTATCCCTTTAATATACATTAAAAGGATAGGGAGGGATGTAATGAAGAGGAGAGGGGAGGAATGAAGTAGGGCGGGAGGGGAAGAGAAGTTTAGAGAACGTAATGAGGAGGGACGGGACGGGATGGGGACAGGGACGGAAATAATACATTAAAAAATCACAATCACTATAATCATTAATATGTAATTGGAGAACATATAACTAGGGAATCAATTTCATGTGTAAATATTTGTTCTTGTTGACTAATTTCAGCAATAAACTAATTGAAACAATTGAACATCCCATGGTAACACACTGGATTAATTACCAACGTAGAACATGCTGCACAATGTTATCACACTATGTGATGTCTCCACGTGCCTGGGGAGATTTTCTCCAAGAGAAAATATTGAGGCCATACAATAGGATTAATTAGGATTATAGATTTTACAACAGGATTAAAAAGGATTAAACCCACATCCTTAGACTCCCCAGGCACGCACACTACTGACTCCCCAATGTTGAGGGAGGTTAAACTAAGGAGGCCAGCGGGAGCAAGAGCACGAGGCCGACGGGAGAGTGCGATCCGGGGCGAGGTCGGCGGGAGATCGCGGGCCCGGGCGAGGCCGGCAGGAGAACGCGATCCTGGGCGAGACCAGCGGGAGATCGCGAGCCCGGGCGAGGCCAGCGGGAGATCGCGAGCCCGGGCGAGGCCAGCGGGAGATCGCGGGCCCGGGCGAGGCCAGCGGGAGATCGCGGGCCCGGGCGAGACCAGCGGGAGATCGCGAGCCCTCCCACTGTGGGTTGGCTGATGGATCAAGGGGTGGGGGTTGACTGATGGATCAAGGGGGGGGGGGGGGTTTGACTGATGAAGGGGTGAGGGGTTGGCTGATGGATCAAGGGGTGGGGGGGGTTGACTGATGGATCAAGGGGTGGGAGTTAACGGATGGATCAAGAGGGTGTGGTGGTCGTATACAGCCCAGGCGAGGCCAGCAGTAGAACCTGGGCCGAGGACAGCGGGAGAGCGCGAGCCCAGGCCGAGGCCAGTGGGAGAGCGCGAGCCCGTGCGGGACCAGCTGGAGAGCGCGAGGCCAAGGGTCTTCCAAGCAGTTTTATTTAATTCAGCAGTTTGAATAGTGGTTTGATCCCATTATATAGCCTCAAAACTCAACAAATCATAAATGAGCTGCACATGCAATAAACTAATGAGTTCCTAAAATTAATGTCAACAAAAATAACAGTAATATAAATTGCTATACAAATTTAGTGACTGACTACTGCAACAATGCATTGCCAATCCATCAATGAACGTGATAGTAAAGGGTTTCAAGTTATTTACTAATCAAGGCTGTAACTAATTGAAAAATAAAAAAGCGAACAGTCTTGTTAGAGAACACTTGATTAAAGTCTTGTGTAATAAGATCCTGGATATACAGTATAACAAAGACAAGACTAAATTCACAAGTTTAATACAAATTTACCATATTAAAAATTTTCAAGGTGGTGCACAATGACATATATAAACAGCAAATTATAATATAATTTCTGACATGTTCATGCCTTATTTGGGACACTGTTACAGTACCGTGACAGCCCCAAGGACATGGTTACTGTGACAGCCCTTTATATATTATAAAATATACAATAATCACATTCAGTAATAACTGGTTGAATTACCCTTGAAGAAAATGTAAAGTGAACCTAACATTTTGATGTAGTGATGTTTAGCAGCAACTCGGGTTAAAATAAAAAAAAAACTGAAGTAGCAACATAACCCACTACATTTTGTACATGAAATGAGCACAAGTGTACAAACACAGGTACAAAGCCAAGTTTCATCTTTCAATAATTTTTTGCCTTAACACATCAAAAGGAGAGCATTTGTTTTGTTGACGAATGTAGCACTTTACACTCGGCTTAAACCTGACTGGTTATAGTGTATAACTGACTGACATTACCATAAGCCTTTGCGTAAAAAACTAGACACGTAAGGTTACCTATCATTCCAAGTCCTGGATTGGCTCATTAAGTTTACGTGCACAGAACAATAAATTTCACCTATCTGATGCACTGTATTGAGACCTGTTATTAGTGATGATGAAATCAAACACAGCTCAGACTACACTGTGTTAAACTTGCAAGTTTACTTAACACAAATGTACATTAATGATGAATTATGAACCTCTGCAGCTAGCAACAATCTAAAGTATTCATGGGTAAAGAAGACCAAAATGATACACTCTCCATTTCAACTAACTTTTGAGAAGGGATATTTGGGTATTGTATACTGAAAAGTAATACCACCACCACAAAAACACACTAGTTTATAACTAACTGTGCTCGCTGACTTCATGTAGCGTGTGATTCCTTCTTTGATGGTTATCTTTGAAGTGATTTCTTATGACCTGTACACTTGCCTTGGAAGTGTGATATCCTTAATGACCTTATAATGATATCCTTAATAATAAGTGATATCCTTATATTTCCTTGTTCAGCTCGTGTCATTCAACATGTCCCCCAAGTCAAAGGAGTAAAGTTACAATTAATAAAATTATCTTTCACATTAAACAGTGACATCTCCAAAATTATAACATTTTAGCATATATTGCTAAATATTAAAAAGGGAAGTGCATTACATTACATGAAATCTTTCTTATTTAAGAGCTGTAGGTAATATATAAATATGCAAATGGAATATTTGGGAAATGAACCAACACTGAAAATAAGGACAAGAAAATATCGAGGTCATACAACAGAATCAAACCAGCATTCCTGGATTCTCCAGACACGTCATATGGTCTCGATATTTTCTCAGGCGTATCACGCTCTACCGATTTCTTTGCGTATACATGTACTGCATTGTTTACGTATAAATTAGTGGGATGTGAACAACACAAATACCAACTGCCGAAACACCTACACAATACCATACTGGAAGACTGCTTCAAGCACCCACTCCAAACTTAACCAAGTATATCTTCAAGTACTATTTAGAACCTGTCTTTACTTATTCTTTTAGATGTTACTAAAGAATGAAAACTTTTATCCAGTAAATTATTTAAGATGTTAAATAATGTGAGCGAGTGACAATAACGAGGCTGAAAATAAACAACCCAGCCCATGCACATGAAAAGAAATGAAAGTGATGACTTTGTCCATCCTGGACCCTCGTCATGTCACTTCCCTGACATGTGTGCAGGTTGGGTTAAAAAAAAAAAAAAAAAAGTCTAAATAGACCAACAGAACTATAAGACAAGAAAACATGGTAATACATAAAAAAGTAAAGAAATATTAATAACTGGAAATAAAGTAATTCCAATCTAAATAAATGGAAAATATATACAAAAAAAAAAAAATCTGCCTAGATACTGTTGCTAGCATCAAAAACAAAATTTTAACTCTTGCTCTTGAAAAATGGCATATTACACTTGACCGAGCCCCATCTTCTAAATGAAGAGCGTGAGGAGAGAGTGAGAGCTCGTGGTCTAGGGGCAAGCTGGGCAGGAGTGCAATAGTTGTTGACAAAAGCAGAGGATCCATATAGGTCATCAAATGAAGACTTTGTTGAAGCTGGTGACCCATCTGTTGAAGAGAAGAGTTGTAACATAAGCATTGTATACACATGGTTATATTATACATGTGTCAAAGCATGCCAGTTGTAAGTACATATGCACTAGTGTGTAAGGCAAGTGTTTTGGGAAAGAATGAGATCAAAGTGCTCTGGCATCAACTGAATGATTGTGTGGAGTAGCTACAAGATGGTAAGAAGGACTCGAGAATCATAAGAGAATTTAAAGAAAGTACTGCATTATGGAAAATAGTAAGGGCTGAAAAAATATATAAAAGGATGATGACTAACTTATTTTACAGAAAGATTAAAGATTTTCTTCGTTGGAAAAATGTACACACATTTTATGTGTATACTTTTTATATGGGAAAATGTGAGGGTCAACTGAGGGATATGGGGGAAGGGGAAGGTGGAACTACATGTACAGAGGGTAAAGAATCATGGTATGTTAATGTGGGCCTCAAAATATGAGTGTCCCCTATCAACCAGAAAGCCTAAATTTTATGACAATGCTTTTGTGGACATTATCTTACATGATATCAATATACAGTAGATGGAATAACTACAGATATGTTTTGAGTGTGAGGTGCCAGATGATTGGCCACTGTTGTATCTTATAAAGAACAAGAATCATAGAAAAATATGGCTCATTTAGCATTTCGTGAAGAGTGTATGTAAGGGTACAGATTAATGGTCTTAACAAAATGTAGGATAGTGGGTTTAAGAATAGGTAGTAAACTGCAAATATCTGTACAGATCAGATATTTACTGTGTGAATATATAGCAAAGGAGAAAGTTGTATGCTGCCTTTCTGGAAATGGAAAAAGTATAATTGGACCAACTGTGAAGTACTGTGGGAGATTTTAATGATCTCAAAGAGGGAGCAAAATTATTAAACAGCATGACATACCAATATGGCTATATACAGAACATTGAAGTCCCTATATATTATTCAGGATGCCAATACAAGAGCACAAAAACAAAATGGAGGATTTACCGATGATTTTATAAAGAGACATGACGTGAATAGTAACATCAGGAAAACTAAAACTGTCATCCTAACAAGATGATGTTAGCCTTACATTACTGTAGGGTGCAATCTATTATATTAAAGAGTACATGCATAAATTTTGTGTGCTATGGTCTAGGGGCAAGCTTGGCATTAATAACGCTTGATAATCATGCGTGGCCAATATGAAACCTAGCCAGAGATGTTTCTGGGGACAGGACAGGTTATATGTGATGGTATGTAATTTGTTATAGTAGCAAACTAACTATGCACAATGAAATCACAATACTGTAGTAATATCCAAGGATCCATCTCACAAATGACTGCGAATTGGGGTTATGAATGACCAAGCGTAAATCCGAGGAAGTCATTACACAAATAGCAGGACACATGAGAGGGAGAGAATTGGGTAGGATTGTAATACTGGAGTAGAGATATGTTGTACTTTAACAAATCCACAAGGGACGAGATGAGGGTTCGAACTCACGTCCAGGATTATCCCAGATGCGCCTCAATTGACTGTCCCACGACATAGTATAAGAATTGCAACCAGGAGTGCTACTGCTCTCACTCGGATCCCACAGTCTCTCCGAGACACAAACAGTCGGGGTTTTACAGTCGTGGCACAGTAGATCAAGGTGCATCTGGGATCATCCTGGACGCGAATTCGAACCCTCATCACGGCCCTTGTGGATTTGTTCATTTGATATCACGCTATTGTGATTTGTGTATGTTGTACTTCTCAAGATGGGAAGAGTAGGGAGCGACATGCTTGAGGTAAATACACGGATGAAAAAAAAGGGGGATACAAATGAGGTTTTAAATATACAGTATAAAGAAAATGACTGAAAACGGAAATAAATTGGGAAAGTTTAAATTCTGGGAAATACTGGTTTGGAAACCAGGTTGTAGATTTATGGAACAAATTACAGTAACAACAGACGAGGGATCGTGCGATTATTTCAAGCACAGGTTAGATAAACGAACGAGTTTGAATATATATAAATAGGAGCTCCTATAAAAGAGAAGCGCCTTCTAATATTTTCCATTCTTGTGTCTAAGAATTATGTCCTGGTATATTCATGACGTTTCTTACAGAATTTACCCAAGACAGATACGGATTGGAACGATGTCCGTTACAATACAGTATTGAAGTTTATCACCTGTACACATATTCGTTCTAATTAATAAAATCCTCGATTTTTTAGACCTATAAACGTGTTAGATGTTGCAAAGTGCACAGCTCATGGTGAGTGTACTGCAACAACTTATCATTAAATCCCAGAGCATTTTCTTTATTATGTTCCTTTATCATTAGAATATACCTATGCAAGGATTATAAAGAAGATACTGTATCAATACTGAAATAATAATATTGACAGGAGAAAAAAGAAAAAGAGTGTAATCAGCAGACATGTATTAACTAAGCCCTCCAATACACACACATTGATTGGCACATGTAAATCCACAACAGAATCATGATTTATCGAATACTGTAAACTCCTAATAGTTAATAGTCATTAGTGTAGGGCATTTCTTGTTAAACAAATTTAAAGATAGATTAAAACACAGGACAAAAACACAAATCAAAAAGTAATCAGTGTTAGTTTTTAATGAAATACGGTAAAGGTCTCGGGAGTTTGGTTCACTGGAATAAAAAATCAGAATTGGGAGACTATACTTGGAGATCATTACTTGCAATAGTAGTTCTGTATCTCAAATAAGTAAATAATTGGTGCAGAATGTGCAGATTGTAAGCAGCATCCTGTCAGCATGGTGGGACTATGCCCCACAAATACTCTCCACCAGACCATGTTGTGGACCTGCCAAATGATAAGCATCACTGATAACCCAATCTGCACATATATGAAGGAAAGGAAAGTGTAGATGTTTCAATCAGTCCAGGACTCTGTCCTGGACTTGATAAGGACTAGGACAGGCTGAAACAATCAATTACTTTTCATTTCATATTTAGGAGCAAAGTTATTAATTTTCAGCCACGTTATTGTGACATTCTCAGCACAAGCCAGTTTCTTATGTTTGGAACTTTGTACACAGATAGCCCATAATATTTAGTTGGATGAAATTGCTTGCACCCTGTCAACAAGACTGTTCACCTGAAATATTCTCCAACACTTTCCTTTACCCGCCTGACAGTTTGGGTGGACAGCACTTCGGATTCGTAATCCTGAGGTTCTAGGTTTGATCCCTGGTGGAGGCGGAGACAAATGGGCAAAATGTTTCATTCAGACTGATGCCCCAATTCACCTAGCAGTAAATAGGTACCTGGTAGACAGCTGCTACGGGCTGCTTCTTGGAGGGGTGTGTAACAAAAAGGAGGCCTGGTTGAGGACCGGGCCACGGGGATGCTAAAGCCCCGAAATCATCTCAAGATAACCCTTGTGGTTTTATATGATGTGGAACAAGTGTGCAATAACAGGGAGGACAGTGGGTGCTGGGGACACCCACTGTCACATGGACAGGTGGTCAGTGTGCTGCTGTAGTTAGGGGGCAGTGATGACCTCACTTAGTGATAAAACTATCTACACTAACCCCTTACAAGTTAACAAAATGATCTCTTAGAAACAATGTAAACTAAATTGCCCAAAACAAAACGAAACCCAAATTTATAATATTAAAAGTGTTAAATTTTAAGCCAGTATGATATGGTTTTCTTAAATTAAAAAAAAATTTGCTATTAATGAAAGGAAGCCAATGAATAAAACAAGATATTTAATTCAAGTTATTAGAAGAGGTTGGCAAAATAATGCATGGGGTACATTTCTATCTACTAGCACCTGTAATATCTCTGAAGGCCTAAAGTAGGGCAATAAATTATGGTTCAGTGCAGGAGGGAAAGGTGACCAAATACTTAAGACTGTTCATTGAACCCCTTTTGCCAGGTCAGCCAACCGAATATTACACTTGCCTCTCAGTGGAGTCTCTTCGTAAAGTGAAGCAAATCGTCCTCTTCTTGGCAGTATGAAGTTGTGTCGTGTTGGCTGTGGTGTAAGGATCTCCATTTCTTCTTCAGCAGCAAGACCCCAGTTTCGGTGATCTACAGCATGCTGCTTTAAACACCTATACCATGCCCCAGCTTCACTTGAAGTCTCAAAGGTAAGTGTTAGACGACCTCGGTCAAATCCAGAGGTGTTGGCAACTGTCACACTTGCTCCGTTCTGAGTTACTTCTGTACTCTGTTAAAAGGAATAAGATTACTGCTGTTTAAATAATTTTCAAACCTCATTTATCAAAATTTCACATTACAACAAAACATAAAAATAACACCAGGATTTGAGAAAAAAAAAGGAATTAATTTAAGTATTACTTAATAAGCTACATAATATGTATTCAAGCTACTGAAATCTGAATGGGAATGAAAAAAAAGGACGCATGTATTAATTTGACTTACCCGGTCAACAACAAGTGACAGAGGGTGATGAGGAGAGAGATGTATGTCTTCTTTGGTGCCCCACACTTCCAGCTGCCATCCATAAACCCGACACCACGACTGCTGCTGCTGCTCACTCTCCTGTTTACAATTGACATAGTTGAAGCAAATGAATATTTTATTCAAAAAAACTGGACAAGGTTGAAGTATGTACATTAAATTCTCTTCAATATATTTTGCCCGTGTGTTTACTGTCTCTTCTGTTACATTTCCGAGATGATGCTCCACACTTTCCTATTAAAGACGTGTAACAACTAAAAATCCAGCTTTTCAAAGGTACTTTAATGTGAAGCTAACAATATGTCCCAACCATTACTGGAAGGTCACAACTCTAGAAACCGTACTAATACTCTAGACTAGATCGTATTCTAGAAACCACCGTACAAGTGGCTGTACAAGAATGCAAGAACTCTTGTATACAACCCAAAAAAAATATTGTGTAAAAAAATTAAAATGCAATGTTAAAATGTAGTAATAAAACAAACCCAGAAAATATTTATGGGACCCCAGTACAGAGTTTATGGTAAAGTCACCGACTGCCAATCATCAAGCCCTACTGGGGAAATTCAGCTATTCTCTTTTAATATAAGAAATATTAATATTGCATCAAGAGAATTGCTATAATTTTGTAAACATTTCATTTTAAATAGTTATCAAATCTCTCCGAAGGGTTATTAAAAGCATTTTTAATTTCCATGTAAAACTTACACCTTTAAAATAAAAATGTATCAAAAGTATAACTCAAGTTCTTATTGGCAAAACTTTATTAAATAACTCTTCCCCCCCCCCCCCCCACACACACACACACACACGAAATTAACATGACAATGGTGCACTCTGTCGACTTGACAAGGCAACCTGTTCTCTTAAAAAGAACGTCACTTTTGGCCGTTTGCCCGTATGGTCGAATATGTACGTAATTTGAAAATGAAAAAAAAAATATATGGGCAGGAAATTCTCAAAGTTTCAAAACGGTATGAAAAACGTTAATGGAAAGAATCCTTTTCTAAGTTGGCCGAGTAAGCCGGACGACTCAAACAGAAAACGGAACAGTACGTCACTTTTGCGAGTCAATTTCATTTTAAATTACGTCCAAATTTGGCCATAGTGCGCATACGAGCGAAAAATGACGTTATTTTTAAGAGGACGGGTTGGACAAGGACTCAAAATGGGCTAAAACATCGTCACAACAATTTACATGTGCAGGGCTTGGTTTCAGCTACTGTGCATTGTGGCTTATTATCTTCATTGCAATAATGTCCCTCTGGCTACTGCAGATTCCTTAGATTTTGTACTACACCAACACACACGCAAACCAATATTGCTCAGTCACACTGCAATTTGCACACAGTTGAAGAACTAGATAATGACTGGTGGACTGGTGCAATGTGTGGGCTAAGCACCAGACAAAACAACAAAGATCATCACTTACCGCAACATGAGCATAACCAGCAATTCTTTCTTGAACCGCACAGTCTGGCTGAGCAGCCAGGCGACAGCAGAAATGACCAAATAGTGGTAACTGATTAACTTGATTCTCTGTTAGGAAAAAAAATAAATGCATGTCACTTTCATTTCCATATGCAGGGGGGTTGTGTAATTTGCATATAAAAATGTATAAAATTTACCCCCAAAAATGAGTCTTTAAAACTGATGTTATATTATTGAACACTGAAAAGATGAGAAGTTAAAAAAAACAAAATATTAAATTAACACATACAATAACTTGAACATATCTAGGACTAACCACAATTATACCATCCCAACTGCTCTAATGTATACTCAACTGCAGCAATATGCGCACGCACACACACACACACACACTGAACTATAAAGCAGAGAAATCACATTAACGTGATGCATTAATGAGAAATTACACATTATCAATGAGATACATCACGTTCTCTATGCATTGATTTCTCTATGCATTGAAAGAGTTAAACATAGAATTCCTAGACAATAGAGCTAAAGTGCATGGGGAGCTCGCGTGAAACCCTGGTTCAGCTTCAGTGGAAGCCTCAGAAGCCTCGTGGATTCAGTAGAATCCCAGGTTGCAATCCTTTTGATCATGTCGTGGCCTAGTTGTCTAAAGGCATATACTTGGGCATACCCAGAGCATAGGTTCGAATCCTCATCACGGCTCCTCCTTATTTTCTCACTGAACAATAAACATTGTATGCACACCTAAATGCAACTAGTATGGTTAAAAAAATCTAAACCAATAAGAAAAATAGAACTGTGGTAATAAGCAATTGTTTTGGACTAGAGCAGTGTCATTACAGATCTAGGGGTCATTCTATACAATATAATGAACCGTCACAAGAGGACATTATCAAGGGCAGAGTTAGGACATTTACATACGATAAATGAAGCAAATTTGATCATGCAACAGTTGTGTTGCATAATCAAAGTACAGTGTATAATTTTGAAAAGGAGCAAAGACATGCTACTAAATGGCTCTTGCACCTAAAAAAAACTTGAAAAGTGCTATAAGTAGAGGCTGGAGACATCAAACAAAGCAAGTAGGCAGAAGGAAAAGCATTGATGATCACATTGAGTCGAGTTAAGAAAATACAAGTAAAATAAATTTGATGGTGAAGGTGTTGACAGATTTCATAAATTAAATAAGAATAGTAAATGCACGCCCCTCGAACTGCAACATTGTACGTACCAGAGAAATGTTCCACAAATAACGCAAATAATAGGAATATAGCTTGAAAAATGAAGACATTAAATAAAGCAGCAATGATGGAAGCTAGGTTATGATACACAAAATATATTAATGTAACAAACCACTACAATTTGAGAAATTACCCCATTATTCTCAGAGTAATAATTACCCCCATTATTATTATTATTATTATTATTCTCACTTTTAACCACATCAAAAGTTACATTACTTTGGCCAGCACCAAAAACAAACAAAGATTACATTAACCTATTTAACAAACTACTGTAGCTCCTTACCAATATTTTCCATGACAAGATCAAATGTTGCCGTGTTGTTGGAAACATTATCCAAACTTAGTTTGGCAGTAGCCACGAGCTCAAATTTTGGACCCCTGTAAATGTAAACAAATAGTAAATTATTACACCGACA